ATTTGAGTGTTATAATTCTTTTGATGTGTTTTTCAGATTAGAACTTTTTTTCCAGATACTAAAATTCAGTTTGCATTTATATCTTAGTAATATAGATACAATTTACTTTTATGCCTAGTCTATAATTTTATAAATTTCAAACATTTATTATAACCATGAATATATTTTCATATTTGTACATTTTAATGTTGTTCCTGTTTTCTTCTTGAACTTTTAATCATTCAGTTTTGTGGTGACTATTTTTCCTTCAATAGTTTTCTAGACTTAATAGATTTAATATAGTCTTGAATTAAATTATATTTTAATATTTTATCACTATCTAGAACTAAGTAAGATTCAGTAACTTGGTATTTTTCCTCAAGCATATCTCTATATGTTTATATTATAAAATTCTCATATGCATATTTTAAAAGTTCTGTATTAATAGGGTCACATTCATTTAGATATTTTCTTTGATACATTTCTAAGGGAGTTTAGATTTTTGTCTTGTGTTTTTCTTCTGACTTTTTTTTTTGTCAGTCATGGGGTCTGAACTCTGGGCCTGGGCACTGTCCCTGAGCTCTTCAGCTCAAGGCTAGTGCTCTACCACTTGAGCCACAGTGCCACTTCCGGCTTTTTCTGATTATGTGGTGCTGAGGAATCGAACCCAGGGCCTCATGCATGCAAGACAAGACTCTACCAGTGAGCCAACTTCCCAACCCTTCTGACTTTCATTCATGTGCACAATTCCCTTACAGATACAGGAAACTGAGTTATTCCTATTGGGGTGTGTGTGGTGTGTGGTATAGTATGTGATATGTGTGTGTGTGTGTGTGTGTGTGTGTGTGTGTGTGTGTAATGATTTGGGTACATTACACTTGTGCCTTCAGACCTCAGAACATTAGCTTTTCTTTAATCACTGCACTATTTTCTTCCCCAAAACATTTGGCTCCTGTTGTCTACCTTCTGGATGAACCACAGGAGCTAGACTTGGACAGCCAGAATCCACAGAAAATTTATTACTATTAAGTTCAAACCCATGGAATCATCTCTCCCATTCTTTGGTTTTCATATTTATGCTAGAATTTTAAGATACACACATATGTTTATATATATATATATGTATATATATATATATATATATATATATATATATATATATTCCAAACTTGCAGTCCTAGATGTTTGACTTTCTGAAGCCATTCCCACTTATGGTTAAACATTTCAACTTTTATAGGTTTTCTCTTTCTAGCCATTATATTGTTTCTATCTAGAAACTGTTTTCCAAACTGTATAAAACACTAAGATGTGCCCAACATAATAAAAAGTGAAATGAGTTTTATCTTTTCAGAAAAGAAAATACTCCTGTTCTTCAGTCTATCATCATATTACTATTTAGATTAGTGCCAAGTCTTCTTTCCATAACAACAAATGAGATATTAAATATCAGATGATTATAGAAATTAAAAAGAAAAAGATAAAGAAAAGAAAATGATGATAACACTTCATACAATCTCAGTAAAACATGGGAAATACTACAAGATTCAAGAATTCTGCCATAAATTTAAGAACAACCTTTGGTTGCAAATTAGTACTAGTTAACTTCTGGTTTATACTAAAATTGTAGTATAGTTCACTTTAGCTTATATTAAAATTGTGTTCAAATGAAATTGTTCCATATTTTCTTTCATGTAAATAGCCTCAAGATAAATCTACTAAGTCCAGTTATCATTGATTTTATTGATTTCTGCTTGATAATGTAATTCAAGTTTACTTATATGATCCACCTCATTTTCTGCCAAGTGCAGATCCACAATTTGGGCCTTTTTTGTGGTCCTGAACAAAAATTGCTCCTGGGATGAAGCAAAGATTCCTTTTCTCTGTTCAGTAATGATTTATACTTGCTTTTACTCAATATCTGTGATATATAGTTACTCTTTCAAAAATTTCAGCAAACAATTTCACTCAATAATAACCAAATACCTTATGGCATAATCTGAATACTCCTTTTATTTATTTATTTATTTTTCTGAATACTCCTTTCAAATGGCTCTCTGATATTGACACTAGAAGGAATCCCGAGGCCCAGTTATATGAAAATGGAGAAAAATAGCATCTGGTCTGTTCAGCCTTGTTGAATAAAAGTATACAAATTGGCAACTGTGGACTCACTCTATAAACATATTAATTCTCTGTACCACGTTTTCTTTTGAAAAACTGGATATTATTATTATGGGTTAAAATAAGGTATACATGGGATACTATCAATTCCCTTAACTACCTTGCTTGTTAATCTCCCATAACAACTGGAAGAGCACTCATATCTGAAAGCATGGAAAAATATTTTTAAGAAGGTGGACATAGGAAACATCTAGGAAACATTAGTAGCTGCAAAAATGTGGATGCATGGCCTGTGCAAGGAATAGCAGAAGGCAAAGAAAGCAAGAGTTAACTTAGCTGTCAGAGGCAGACTTTGGAGAGTAGATGATTGAACTGAATGAAGTGTTCTTTAACAGGTCAAGGGAGAAAGAGTATTATAGAAAGGAGGAGAGGAGGAAGGAATTAAAACATAAACTTTCATGATGAATGGGAATTTTGGAGACACTGAACTTAGACAACATAGAGAAAAAATTGGGGAAAGTGGCAGGAGCTGGATCATATATATAATGTGTTGAAGGTTTTAGACTTGGTTTCCCCACACAGAGGATTGCAGGTTTGCATGGTTTTGTTGCATGAAGTTAAAAATGGTATTTTTTTTTTTTTTTAGCAATATTGAGGATTGAACCCTTCAACCCAGGGATTTTTTGCATGCTATGGAATTGTTCTGTCACTTTAACCATGTCCACAGCCATTTTGTTTATATATTGTTTATGAGATAGAACCTCACTATCTTTTTTATCCTGACTGGTTCCAACCGGATTCTTATTCTGTTGTCTCTTGAGTAGCTGTGATTACAGATATGAACCACTATGCTTAGCTATTTTTACATTTTTACTTAAGACTAATACTGAAACATTCTGGATTGTGTATTCACTCTAGATATAAAGCCTCTAATTTATCCCCTTGGGCTCCCCTAAATATAATTCAAGCTTGCTATTGCCTTTTTAGGTGCTGAGTTACCTCACCAGCCCTAACCTGTCTCTTCATTGAACATTCATGGTAGATTATAGTTATAAAAATTACAAATCAAATTTGTTAAAGAATTTCCACTAAAACTTAGTATAAAGATTATTGCAAATTATGTTAAATAACTCACCTCATAGATATTCAAATACTATTTTCAGTATTTGAAAAATACATTTGAATTTATACGATTTTAAAAACATAATATAAGTACAATATAATTTGGGCAATGATAAGGATTTGTAAAATATACTAATGAACATGTACAAAGGTTTTGAATATTCAAAGGGAATCACATATCACAGCCACTCATATAATTTTAATTTATTATGTGTTAATATTCTTTTGAGGGAAAACAGTTTGTACTTGAGTTTATAATAAATTTCTATTAAATGCTCACCATGTGTTAAGTATGTGGACTTGCCTTTAATTTTCAAAATGTCCCTTTAATTTTCTTCCAGTTTTTAACTTACAATCGACCCTCGGTAGAGTCTATACCTAAAGGATGCATAGACACACAGATGTACACATACATACATATATACACAACACACACAGATTTCCACATATATACACAGACACACAGATCCATGCACACACTTTTCTAGAATAGTGGAAATAGATAATAGAATAATTGAAAATAGAAATAGATTGGCACCTGGGCAATTTTGTTTTACTTGTACTAAAAGCCCCATGATGTGTATGCATATGTGTGTGTGTGTGTGTGTGTGTGTGTGTGTGTGTGCGTGTGCCCACATGATTAAAATCTTTTTTAAAAAGAGGAGATTTGGTTTGGGGATCAATATTCATTACTCATGTTGAGAGTGAAAAGAAACATTGAGGTTTCAAAGAACATGTGCTATTTTTTAATAGAAAAAATAATATGTGCTTTCCTTTGGGACATCATGCTTAGCGAAACATCTTGTAATATTTGAAATAGCAAAACACTAGCTTTAAACAATTTGAAATACTATCCTATTATTAGTCTTCATCGTCCTTAAATCCTATCCTATTATTAGTCTTTACTAGTTAACAGTGAGCTCTTCCAGAGGTTTATGATAAAGACAATTGAGTATTTGATGTGGGTATAATTTGCGGAGGGGAAGGGAAAAACAAATCATTTAAATAAGTATACAAGTGGACCCATTGCAACAATGAGATGTACAAATCGTATGTCAAAAAAAAAAAAATCCACGAACTTTACAACTTTAGCAGGGGTGGGGGATGGGAAGGGATGGGAAAAGGAAACAAAGGAGGAAGCAACAATGCTTGATAAGAAATGTACTCATTATCTTGCCCATGTAATTGTAACCCCATCTGTACGGTATTTTCACAATAAAAAAAAGACAATTGATCTACGAAGTGTTTGTACACAAAAACACAAAAATATTGCATCTAGAACCACAATTGCATTGTAACCCCCAGAGGCTTGCTTTTCCCGTAGAGTCATCTCTGAACCTGCTGGAGAGGACAAGGCTCTTGCAAAACAGAAGGGAAAAAGACAGTGGATAAAATAATAACATCCTGAAAACAGATTTTGCACAAAAGTGTCACGTGGTAACTGTTGTCACCATCTACTAAACAGCTGAAAGGCATCTGCAAAGTCTGAAGACTTGAAAAAATAAAAATAAAAGAATGCATTTATATCTAATGTATTTACAAAAATCCATTCTGAGTTTCGTGAGAAATAAATCTGATTTCTCTCCCCCTGACCAAAATATGCATAATATGTGTTCTGGCTTACTGAATTCATCCTTCATGCAATCCCAGTTTATTAAAGAGGGGAGAAATTTATAAAACTCTGATGGAATAGGGTTTGAGTGCTTCATCACACTACCCATCATTTGCTTTTCAGTCAAGATCAGAACACTTTTGCCTACTTTCGCACAGTCACCTACCTGCACAGCTAATATTTTCTGAATACTCTCCAGAGATTCTTTCTGGAGATGGGCCAGCCTCATCTGGCTGTAGAGGACCATCAGTTTGAAATACTTCTGCCACTCCTTTTGTAGATTTCTCTGCAGCTGACAGAACTGGAGGCGAGAGGGAGGGGAAAAACACAAGTCAGAGTAGGAGAGGAAATTAATGGCAGTGTTCAAGAAGAATGATGGAGGGAAATACAGAAAGCAGTCAATGGCCCATTCTGCACTGTATGGACCTGACAGGAATTTCACAGTCTCTTGATTTTTCAGACCACTCATGTGCATTCATCAGAAACCAGTCACATCTGGCCGCCAGGATGGGGGGTTAATTTTCTCTAAATGCCTCAGCAGTTTCGTTCTAGCTGAGGCAAACTCTGTGACTGCCAAGCTGATGGCTAAAATATTTCTACTTCACCCAGTTTAACTCAAAACCGATAGCCTCGGGACATATTGAACCTTTCTTGGAAAAAATAATCTTTTAAAGCTTTTTTGAATGGCACATCAGGCCAAGCCAAAGTTTAAAAATGCAACTTTAAGACTTTGATAGACACCGTGACATTGGTAGCTTCTTTTCTTTTTTCTTTTTCTTTTTCCTCCCCTCCCCACCCCCCTTCACAAAGCTCACCATTGCTTGGCAATATGTGCATCAGAGCATGACAGGACTAAAGAGAATTAACTTAGCCATCAAATACAGAGGAAGAACAATAACAGGGAAGAAATTTCCAGCTTAGAACTCCCTATTAATCTACCTCCCCCTGACCGTGTGACATAGAAACATCTCACTGCTTTCAAGTACAGAAAATGCAGAGCTTAGAAGTGGTGTGCTTAATACAGGGATCTACATAGAGAAAGAAAGAAGTCTCCATATGGGGACCTGCTATGTTATGTGGAAGTTTAATAGGAAAACCAAACACTGGCAATTTTACCAAGACAATGTGCATTTGATTTGGAACAGTTAGCAGACCCGCACTCCATTCGATTATTACAGTGATATAAGTTTCAGAAGCATAACTTTAATAAAATTAGCAGTGAAGACAATTTTTTTTAAAAAAGGTTCTAATAATTATATAATATATTCTGTCACCGAGAAACTCTTGGTTTTGACAGGATGTATATAGTTGTTTAGTATATTTTTCAGAATGGAAAATTCCATGTAAAGCATCTATTCATAGTAGGGTTCAAAGATGTTAGCAAAAAACAATGACTTTTTTGTTAGATGTTTAGTTCTGGGTTACATATATGGGGTACTTTGTGAAACTTCAATAGATGGTCCATGCATGGATTTGAGAAATCTTTTATAGATATATTTCAATAAAACAGTTTACCTATAAATAATCTTTTCTAAATTTGATGCTATCTGTGAATTGTTTATCATTATCATCCTCATTATGCATTGTAATAACCAGTAAGTATATATTTATGTTCAATTTACAGAAAAACAAAGCCTCTATTCTTGGTTAATTAGTTAATTTAGGACAAAAATACACATGGAAAAATTAGATAGGTATTTCCACTTATTAAATACTGAACTATATTACCCAGAATATATTTATAGTATTTCAGAACATTTAATATAGTAAGTTAAACATTAGCATTGCTTTGGAAGAGAAATTCTGTCAAGGTTTTTTTCTCTAAAATTGTATAATATAAACCAAGTCAGTCAGAGGAGGAAGCATGCTAAATCTTGAGACACTTGTTAAAACACCTGTAATTTAGCTAGGCATGCTCACAAACACATGAAGGGTCATATTAAAGCTGAACTTACTCTGCCAATAGAGGAGAAAGGTGTGAGGATGAGGGTTATGTATAAACAGATATTGCAAGAGTTATGCATATGATAACATTTGTAGAAGTAGCAAAAAACGGAAAAATAATACCTCATATTTTAACTGGATTACTGCATAAAACAGACTTAAAAATGAAACTGGAATGACAAACACTAAAAGAAGGCCAGTGGCTAATTCTGAGGGACCAGGGGGTAATATTAGTCCCTCTCCCCCCACCAAAAAAGACGTAAGGGGTTGAATGTTTCTACACTGGTTTAAACAAGGGAAGCAAATGTATCAGGTGCCCAGCCTAAAAGCTGACAGAGATCCAAGGAATGTATTGTATGCTTCTTTACTTAGAATTTACATATACCCCAGCCTATTGCATGTTTGCAATACTAAAAAAAAAATCAAAAATAAATTTCAGTTAACCTGACATATCTACAAAAAGGAATTATTCACATTGTGTGGCTTGAGACTTATTAATTTCAGAGAATTGATTATTAGCTGTTTGTTTAGAGACTATCCCATTACATCTGACCATCTGCTAACATATAAACATGGCCTTTTGTTTGCAGAATAAGATCTGTATTATGTTTCCACTAAATGTGATCTTACCTACAAAAAATGCCCAAAATATTTAATGAGTTTATATTAATAAAGATAGAATTATTATTCCAAGCTGCTCCATAAATTGTCTAATTTTTAAATATTTATCTCCATTTCATTGGCATAACAGTAACACGTTCATAACTGACTTCACAGGAAACAGGAGACTCACATAGATATTTTCATGAGGATTTGAATTCATTACTTTCAAAGGCAACAATGGAGTTTAGATATCGGAAATATTTATGTAAAAAAGTATTTACTTTGTAAGCTTATGTATCCACTGTATGTTACTATGGTGAAATACTAATAAACTAATATGTTTTTCTTTAAAAAATTCTTAAATAGTCTCTGCAATACAGCACATAAATCTCATTGCAAATGTATTTTAGATAAAATTAAATCATTTTTAGAGACATATGGTGCCAAAAATTAACTCCCCAAAGCATATAATTTAACTGGCTTTTGCAATTTAAGAACCCCAGAAAAGAGAAAGGGAACATTTCAAGGAAATGAGAAGTGTCCTTATAATGAATTTCAGCTTAGAAGAATCAGACATAACAACAGTCTTTTAAATTAAAATACAAATACCATATGTACAGTTATCTGAAAAATGAACCATAAATTGTTTTGTCAGAAAACAAAGACCAGTCAATACAGAAAAAAAACACAGAAGTCCCTAGAACTGAAAGCTCAGAGTAACTGACCAGACAGATAGCTTATGGTCAGCACTTAATGTTAATAATGAGAATAAGGTCAGGAGTTGACTACCTAAGGTGGTGTTCTAACTTTTGGATGAAAAACATATATATAACAACTGGATGTTTGCTGAAAATAAAACAGAATTTAGTCTGGAAACAACATAAGAATCCTAGAGCTACAACATGGAGACAGGAAATAGAATTAATACAAAAGACAACTCTCACGAGTACAATGCCTAAGATGTGAGGAACAATTTCTAACTCCTGAGTTGAAAATCAGGAGAGCACCCAGGATCTGGGAGCACTGAAAACAACTGTGTGGCATTACAAAAGTCTATTACATTTGTCTGTGCACACCAAAATATACACCCCCAATAGTGAGCCACTGTAACAAACATACATCTATGATGTGTGATGCAGATAATTCAGCAGGCTGTGAATGTATAGGTAGGCAAAGGTAGGCAAAGGGTAGCGTGAAAATGTGCCTTCTCAATTTTGCTGTGACGGCAAAATCTGCTGTTAAAAAATAAAAAAAAAATGAAGTCTACAACACAAAAATATCATTCCTCTAGCACAGGGGTGGGAATAGAAGTGTCCAGGCGGTGGTGATAATTTATGACAATTGTTAGAGCTCATAGAGTTTCTGCCACATGAAAATTAGAAAGTTCATCTGATGAAACCTCTAGGAAGCCTGGGAAATTGGTAGGTGAGCAGCCTGTAGCCTAAGAGAGGAAGGAAGTACCACGGATAATGTTTCTTTTAGAAGAAAACTAGGGCGTTTCAGGTAATGCAATTCTAATTCTAGCTACAAAGACAAACAAAAGGTTCACCTGTAGAAGCAGCTGTAAGAGTTAATGTATTTAACAAAGAGAAAAAAATCATGCTATCTCTGGCAGATTTTCATTTGTACTTCAAGTAATCCAATTAAAATCATATTTAAGGATTTGACAACATATGATCAAAACCGCTTAGGAGAAAACTTTTATTTTCCTATAAGAATAATTTTAGATAGGAGTTAGATAGATGTAAAGATACATAGATAGATGATAGAAAGCAGAAAGGCACACTTTCACTCATTCATTTGCACTAGAATATTAAAGTTTTAATTATAATTTGATTATAATTTTAACCTGCTTGTTATAAGGTTTTACATTCTGAAGTGTACTGTCTTCTTTAATCTCTGACAGAAAAATAAAACTGATAAGCAAAGATGTGCATGCAATTTTGATTCAACTGAGTGATATGCAGTGCAGCTCACAAGGCAAATAGCATAAGCCTTTATCAGTTCTTTTTTTTTTTTAATAAACCAAACAATGGCAATTACAAACTACTCTACAGACTTTCTGCCAAGGAGAAATGACAGATACACAAAATCCAGTTAATACTGATCTTTTTATAGTACTCAGTTACCAAGTTACATATGCACGATATACAAATCTCACAAGTAATGAGATATTTCCTTATTACTGTCTGTTCCACAGACTGGTGTTAAAGATCACATAGCTCATTTCTAGAAATCTCCTTTGTCAGCTGCTTAGGTATACTTAAAACAAAATAAAACCCACATGCATTCCTAAATCTGGAGCTAATATCTATGGAAATTAATAAGGAGCTATAATTTAAACTATATAAAAACAATAACTTGTAAAACTCCATATCTGAACCTCGGTTAGTATTTTTAAAAAAATCCCTGATAGCATCACAAAAAGAAAACTGATCTTCAACAGATGCCATGAAGTCTTATACAGGATAGCTAACAATCAAGTTTATCCTTTCATATAATCTCACAAACATATTAATTTTGCATACTTTATAAAGTAACATGACATCAAACATATAGGTAATATAACATTTTTTACTTGTTCAATAGCATTAACAAACTACACAAGCCACAGCTTTCTTGGTTTCTTTGAAATACCTTGTTTCAGAATAAGGTAACTGCATTTTGATGGCTATTTGATCAAAACAGGTGAATAAATGTGTTTACTTTTATTTTTTAATTCCACTTTCAAATTTAGTCAATAGTACATGTGCA